GACCTGTTAGAAAATGGAATCTGCAATGTGGTATGGTTCAGTTGCAAAAGGCTGAGTCTGGGTAGTTGGGGGGGAAAAAAAAAGCAGCACTGCAACCAGCTTCCACATTAACGGTTGCTTAAAAGAAGCTTACTAGAAGAGCTCTAAAACTTTTGCCAATCAAATTTTCCAAATCAATGCTCTTTCCAGATCCAGATCGGTCAATTGCTTTGGATGGAATTTGGTGGTCATGCTGGGCATGGAATCATGCCAGTGTCAGCATGAACAGGGTAAGTCTGAGCAAGACTGGATTGTTTACCCCCATATTCAGCTATATAGCTGAACTACTTGCTGATTTTATCATATTTAAGTGGTATTTTTCTGAATAACAGAATGAGAAACAGGGCAATAGGGGGATGCTGTTTAGATGTCCCAAGGAATCTGAAGAAATCATAAGACAGTTATCGGCTGCAAGGCAGCCGGAACCAGATCCGATGGGCCCCAAGAGTCAACGGGCACTGTGCTGACATCCGAGTCTTCTGAAAAGCAGGGTAAGGGTTCACACGAAGCGATCTGGACCATTTATGACTTTGGACCAGCTAGTCCCTAGGCCACTTTGGTTCCGTTAACTTTTCTGTTTAACTTTGAGGTGCAAAAAGTTGCTTGATGATTATCTCATCCTGGGCAGGTAAATATTTACTTTATCTAACCAGTCTATTTTTCTCTCCACATAATGCACATAACCTTGCTACCTAATACCCCTGGATCTGCATCTGCCCATCTGGTCTAAATATGGACTTATGCATCTTGATAGCAGGGACCTTGTCTTTTCAAAAACTCATGGGCTTCTGTTCCATAGCACTTTATATTAAATGCCCATTACTGGGGCGCCTGGGTGGCTCAGTAGGTTGAGCATCTGATTCTTGGTTTTGGCTCAGGTCATGATCTCGGGGTCGTGGGATCGAGCCCCGTGTCGGGCTCTGCACTCAGCAGGGAGTCTGCTGGAGATTCTCTCCCTCTCCCTCCCCCCTCCCCCTGCTCTCACACACTCTAAATAAATAAAAAAATCTTTTAAAAAATGCTCATCACTAAGCACATAGTCTAATAACACTGAAGCGAGCACAGAGAGGATCAATGCCGTCTTCTTAGAAACCATCTGACAAGTTCTGTGAAATGCAATGTCTTTTTCTTTTGGTCAGTGATTCCATTTCTACAAAATTACTTTAGGGAAGCAAGAGACGTGGAAGCTGTCCATGTAAGAATTTTCTTCCAACTCTGAAGAAACTGTAAGGTCCCCAATGGTTAAACTTGCAAACACATGTTCACAGCAGCATTACTCTTAATAGCCAAAAAGTGGAAACAACCCAAATGCCCGTCAACTGGAGAAACAACATGTAGCCTATCCATCCAATGGAATGGTATTTGGCAAAACAAAACAAAACCAAACCATGAAATTCTGATATATACTGCAACATGGACGAGCTTTGAAAACACTATGCTAAGTTAAAAAACACAGAAGACCCCATATTGTATGATTCTATTTATATGAAATGTCCGGAATAGGCAAATCTATTTGGTGGTTGACTAGGGCTGGAGCAGAGGGCTGCAGGGAACCAGTGCGGTGGAATGAAAGGGGGGTGGCTGCCAACGGGTACAGTTTTTCTTGGGGAAAGTGAACAAACTTCTCTAAAGTTGACTGTGGTGATGAACTGCACAACTGTAAATATATTAAAAATCACTGAAGTGTACACTTTGAGGAGGTGAACTGTATGGTATATAAATATCTGAATAAAGTTGTTATTTAAAAACAGCATATAGAGTCTGATCCAAATTTTATTTAAGAATCACATGTGAAGAGAAATGGTCAAAAACAAATACACAAAACTTTAGACAGTGACGTTTTCTGAATGGCAAGATTTTAGATGATTTTTTGTTCATTCTTTTATTCCTTCCCGTATTTTGTATGATGAGTATGTATTATTTTCATAACCGGAAAAGTGACTCGTCCAATACCATTTCATGATAAACTCCACGTATTTACAATGTTTGCCTATCTGAAAATGGCACGGTAGATGGATCAGTCTTCTACCTTCCCTCTAGAATCAGAATATCATGAAGGTGCTAAGCGACGTGTGGCTTTGCCTTCAGATTAGCATTCACAATTTCCTAAGAAGTCTACTGCTGGGTCTAAACCAGTTGCATCTCCTCTCAAACAGGAAGAGTAAGTACCCTGGGTCACAACTGTGAGGTTCCTACGGGTGTTTCCCTGCTGGGCCAGCTCAAGGATGACAGAGATTGAGTCTGGCAGTTCTGCCACCAGAGGGAGCTGGTATGTGGACAACCCGGGCAGTCCCTTGTGAGGCAGCAACTCAGGATCTTAAGAGGCTTTTTTTTTTTTTTTTAGATTTTATTTATTTGTAGAGAGAGAGAGAGAGAAAGTGAGAGAGAGCACGAGAACAGGGTGAGGGGCAGAGGGAGAAGCAGACTCCCTGCCGAGCAGGGAGCCCGATGCGGGGCTCGATCCCAGGACAACGAGATGACGACCTGAGCCGAAGGCAGATGCTGAACGGACTGAGCCGCACAGGCGCCCTTAAGAGGCTATTTTTTTATCATTATCAAGAATCAGTACTTCAAGATCATTGTTTTACCTGTTTTACAATTCCAGAGTGAAAACAGTGAAGGAGGTCTTCCTAAGGATCAGAGGCTCAGTAAACAAAGAACAGGCAAGGTAAAAATGCAGAAAAATTAAAAATACATGGCCTCCATTGCTGAACTTTCTCTCAGAATTGTCTGCCTGACATCCTGGCATCTGGAGGAAGTCACGCAGCCAAGTCACCGTGATAAGGTTTCAAGCTGCTTAAGATACTTGAACCCTCCCCAACTTGTTGGGAAGTTTCCTAACAAAGAAGAAATAGTCATCTTGCTTGCATTCCGTATTCATTCTAGAGGCACTGCTACTGAAGAAATCAGGATGGAAGTTTGCCAGATGTTGGCAAGGTGGTTAATAAGAGACAGGTCTAGAGTGCCCACAGGGAGGTTAGGCAATATTTAACTCAGGTCAGAATTTCTCAACGAACGGTCAGAGTCTCAAGGAGGGTCTGAAGGGAACTTTATAGCTTCGGAGCTTCAGAATGATGAGAACAGCAGTCTGTCTTACCAGCAAAACTTTTCTTCACTTCTGTAAATCCACAGACGTTAATGTATTCACACATAAGTACTCTGCTCTTTATTTCATATGTCCTTTTATCTACCTCTCCCCTGTATTTCTTTTTCATTTCTAATTGTGGTAAAATACACACACCGTAAGACTTACCATCTCAAACATTTTTTTCCCATCTTAAACATTTTAAAGCAGTATTCAGTAGTGTTAAGTACATTCACGTTGTTGTGCAACCAACTCCCAGAACACTTTTCCTCTTGCAAACCAAGCTTTGTACCCATTAAACAACAGCTCCCTGTGCCTTTCTCCCCCACAGCCCCTGGCAACCACCATTCTACTTTCTGTCTCGATGAATTTGACTACGTGCTGCACGTTAAGTGGAATCATACAGTATCTGGCCTTTTGGGTCTGTCTCATTTCACTCGGCATAATGTCCTCAAAGTTCACCTGTGTTGTAGCCTGTGTCCTGGACTATTAATATTCCACTGAATGTATAGACCACGTGGTCCTTATCCATTCATCATAAACATCTGCGTTGCTTCCACCTTTTCGCCGTTGTGAATAAACGCTGCTATGACCACGGACATACAAATCTCTCTTCGGGACCCTGCCCTCAATGCTTTTGGGTAAATATCCAGAAGTGGGATGGCTGGGTCACATGGTAGTGCTATTTGCAATCTTCCGAGGAACCACCATACTGTTCTCCACCCTCCTCCTCATGTCTAACAGCATCTAAATCCTGCCAAACCTTCTGCTCCCCCTGTGGGACCTTGACGTGGATATAAAGCACTTACTGCCCTAGGAGGGTATGCTGTGAAAGCAACGGAGATATAAACTTTTGAGTACTGCCATAAGAAGACAAGGAAAGCTGTGTATCCAGTTTATAGCTCTACAGAGCTCATTCAATAAATATTTATTACACATCTAAGGACACATTAGCTGCTGAGCCTAAAGAGATCCTCTCTGCCTTGAGGGAGCTGACGGCCCAGTGGAAGGAATACGGACAAGAAACTGGCCACTTACAACACAGGGTGTCTGCAAAGGGTAGACACGGCTGCTAGAGGACACTCACAGGAGGAATGCTGGAGCCCAATCTGGGCTTCCTACCATCTGGCAGGTTCTAACTGCTTCTTCACTGCGTGCCTTCTGATTCATGGCACTTTGTCAGAGGGATCATCCTCTACTACAGAGCTCACCAAGATATCCCCTCAACTTCCCACTTAAAGCCCTTCAGAGGTGCCCCTGTGCTCTCAGGATGGAGCCCCAAGGCCCTTGGCCAGGTGATAAGAGGCCCCCCTTCCAGCCTCCTCCGTGATCCTCCTCCATGACCTCGCTTGACACCGACAGGCTCTGCCCATTTCACAGCTCTGTGCCTTTGTGTCAGTAGCTCCCTGGGCCCAGCCTAATTCTCAGCAGGGGTGGCTGTCCGTCCTGCCTATAAACCTGAATCGGCTGGAGAAATTAAACAGCAAAGACAAAAACAGTGCCAGGGCCTCGTCCCAGGCAGAAGCGATCAGAATCCCTGAGGGTAGGCCTGGGTATCCTCCCAGCTATCCCAGTGACTCTGATTTAAACCCGAGCTGCCACCACTGCCCTGTGCACACGGGCAAGAGGCCCTCCCGCGGCAGGACCGTCTCAGTTACGCTGCCATCCCCCTGAAGACAGCCCCGGACCGGCTCCTAGACCAAATACATAGAACCTCTCTGCTTTCGGATTCAGCTGGATGAGTCCCACTGGGAAATATTAAAAACACCTGCCATGTACCGCTCACCTGAGAACGTTCTCTACAGTGACAACTGGTGGTTGCAGTGTGTTAAGTGTCACGATGCACCCAATGCCCTGGACTCATTCCCTTCCTTACCTCTTAACAGCAGAAGGCAATGTACATTTATTGAAGTCCATGTGCCATACACATTCATGTCATCTCCATCCTCACAATGAGCCCGAGTCAGGTATATGGCTTATCTCCATCTTACAGATGAGGAAACCTGTTAAAAACAAAAGAAAACAAAACAAAAAAACCATCCAATAGTTGCAGTGGTTTTTTTTCATGGTGTGTATCACATTAAAAATTGTTTTATTGTCTGCCTTCCCCACAAGACCGTAAAAGAAGGACGTCTGTTTCATTCACTGAGACATGCCTGGCAAACACCTGGCCAGTGCTTACTATCACTCAACAAGCGTTTCTATGTTAAATGAGAAAAGAGCACCCAGAGCGCTCCCTCTCCTCTCTGCTCGTGCGCTTCATTCTTTTCACTACAGACCAGCTTGCTTGCACCCACGGCACCGAAGCCCAGTGCCCCTCAGCTTCTTCCACGGGAGCCGACCTCATCTCAATTCTAGTTCGAAAAGTCATTCAAAATTAAAAAATAATTTAATAAAGGCAGCAGCATGGTGCCCACTGTGGGCTAATCAAGCAGACTCCAGGAATCAAACGTGTGGGGATAAGGAGGGTCAAGAAGGTATAGTTCACAGAAGTGAGGGGTGTTGAGCGTGTCTGGTAAGTTTCTTGCCCGTTCTGGGCCTCGATTTCCTCATCTACAAAATCGGGGAAATTCCACATCCTAGGATTAATGCGGGAAATAAATGAGATAGTCCTTATAAACTCCTTAGAACCAGGCCCGTCACACAGTAAGCCTGAATGACAATTATATAAGGCTGTAATGAAAAGATTTACATGACATGTATTTACCATACCAGGCGCTGTTCTAGAGCAAGGGGTCGGCAAACTTTTCCTGTAAAAGGGCAGATAGTAAATATTTTCAGCTGTGCAGGCCATCCGATCTCTGTATGGACTACTCAACTCTGCTGCTCTTGTGGCAGACACGGCAGCCATAGACAATCCATGAAAGAATGAGTACGGCTTTCCTCCAATCAATCCTTTTTCAAAGACAGGCAGGCTGGATTTGGCTGCATTTGGCTGCAGGCCCTAGCCTGCTGACCCCTTTCTAAAGCAGTGCTATCCAACAGAAATATAATGCGTAACTTAAAATTTTCTAGTAACCACGTTAAAAAATGAACAGGTGAAATTAATGACATTTTACCTAAGCAGTGTATCCAAAATACTGCCATTTCAACATGGAATCGATAAAAACAAATTAGTGATATTTTACATTCTCTTTTTCATTCTAATTCTCCAGAATTCACTGTTTGATATATCTCAGTTAGGACTAGGAACATTTCAAGTGTTCATTAGCCTGTGTAGCTAGTGGCTACCTATTGGACAACACAGTTCTAGAGCATATGCTAAAATGGGTAATGCTTAACACACACACCTATAGCCCTAGCTTCTGAATACATATCACAAAGAGTTTATACCGGGCCGGCAAGAGCCGGTCCTATATATCTGTTGACTGAATGCATATAAAAGCTCGTAAATATTAACTAATATGGGCAGGTTGCACACATCTGCCCACATCTGGCTTAAACCCCGGGGAGAAGGGAGATCAAAGAGAAATTCTGTTTCTGGTCATAAGCCACATACACTTCTCCAATTACACAGGGAGGCCCTTCCTCTATGGAGAGAACTGATGCCACCTGTTGGGGCGCCGCCGTTTCTCAACAGCCCCCCAACACGGCGCTAGGGCCCTTTCATGTTAGGACGGTCCCTAGCACAGGTGCAGCGAGTGGAAGGGACCAGCCCAAGGGCCCGCTCAGGCCCGGGTTCGGGTTCCGCAGGGTGGGGCGGGGCGACAAGCGAAGGCTGCTGCAAGCCGTCCCCGTGTGCCAGCCTGCCACCCAGCCCAGAAGCGGCGGCGGTCCCGAGAGATCGGCCCACCCCGGCGACTTCGGGTGGAGAAGAGGAGCGAGGGCACGATCGGGCCTACCCGACCCAGGACGCACCGAGGGCACCCCCCGGGGCAGTGGTGGGCTTTTCGGAGCACCGGTGCGCAGAGCCACCGGAGAAGCCAGCCCAGGGCGTCGCTCACCGAGAAGCGCAGGAGCCGCGGAATCTCGGGAGACCTCCGCGTCAAGAGAGAGTTTCCGGTACGCGGGGCGGGACCACCGAGGCTCAACCAATCCAAGCCCGCAGAGTCGAGAGCGCGAGCCCGGGCCCCAGCGCATGCGTGCTAGGTAAATGGCGTCTGCGCAGAGCGACTAGCGGCCCTCCGCCGCTGGCTGCAGGGCGACCCCTGGCCGGGCTGACGGTCTGGCGGCAGGGCCTGAATTCAAAGAAACTACCCCTAGTAATGCTTTTCAGCTGCAAAGTTTGTTGAACTACTCTACGGCGTACGCTTTCCGCTCTCATTCAAGACGTTGCTCAGCGAAATGTTGACAAAACTTTGGCCAGAAATGCGATATACCGAATGTAGTCATTAACTCGACAAGGTATTTATTGCACCCCTAGCACACAGCAGTTGATGTGAAAGTAGCAAACATTAAGCGGCCATGTGAGTCCTGCACTTCTCACCTGTACACATTGTTTCCCTGCAAGGGTCCAATAAAATCAAAGTGATGGTAAAGCTAGAGACTATTTTCAAAAGGCTATTGCTTTAAGATTGTTTCTATCACAAGAACAAAGTGCGACACCTATAAATCTAATTTATTGAACAGGCTCTTGGGGGCGCCTGGGTGGCCTCAGTCAGTTAAGTGTCTGCTTTGGGCTGGGATCCTGATTTCGGGGTCCTGGGATCAAGCCCCTGGTCAGGCTTCCTGCTCAGCGGGGAGTCTGTTTCTCTCTCTCCCTCTGCCCCTCCCCACTGCTCATTCTCTCCCTCTCTTAAATAATAAAATCTTTGAAAAAAAAAAAAAAGTAAATCTCTTGAATTGGTAGGCTGGCTGGGGCAATTACATGTACCCGATGCCAGCTTTTATGTAATGGGGTCCAGGTGGTGGACTTTGGTGGGTTTGGGCCACTCAGCTTTCAGCCCACCTTCTGAACAGCCGATTGGGTGCCGCCATCTGCCCTAGCCAGGGGCCAGCCACAGGAACAAGCTGGGCCCATTGCACACCCCTCCCTAGAATGTGAATTTTGAGCAGAGTAATGTGGAGACTAGTATGGTGAGAGATCATTCCAGCAACGTTGGCATGCTGATCAGCAATGGCTTCTTTCCACAGCTCTGCTTCCAGCCCTGGAGCCCGTTTCCAAGGCTGGATTGCTGGTCCTCCCATGCACCTGAACACTCCTGTTTCCTTACCATAACTTCCCTTTGCCATAAGTTAGCTGAAGTCTGGTTCTGTTGCTTGCTACCAGCAAACACTAACTGACACAGCCCCCATCTTAATGTATCTGTGTGATTTGAGGGCCATCCAAAGAGAATCCCTGATCGTTGATGGTGCTGAAACTGCCTTCTTACTTGTTCCTTCATATTAAAGCACTGGAAGCTGCAAATCTAAAAGAACAAATATCAGAAAGGTTACACTTGCCGCTCTTTATTCCCTACACCTGAGTTATCTTAGAAGGGTCGCTTCTCTTCACCTGTCAGAGACCAGCAGAATGGGACAGAGGACAAGTAAATGTTGACCCGGGTAAATGGGAAAGAATGAAAGGGCCGCAAGATTGGATTCTTTGAGATCTCCGGAGTCACTGAATTGGAAGGTTCTAGGTATCCAGAAAGAGGCATGAGTTCACAGGACACGGGGGAGGGGAGAAATGGAGCAAAGCAGGAGCGGGAGATGCTGCAGACAGCCCTCTCTGCTGTTTGCCAGGTGGCAGCCACACACGGGCACGTAGGCCGTCACAAGAGGGCACTGCCAGAGCTCTGAGAAGGGTCCAAAAACTGAATGCGAGCACCCAGTGCCTCACCTTCAGGAGGAGAGCTGTGTGACTGCAGCTTGGACCCATGAGGAAAAAGATTTCTAAAGGGACAGTCACAGGGATAAGAAAGGGGGCTGTAGAAATTTTATGGGTGTCCAGGAAGACCAATAGGTGTGTGGAAGGAGAGGGTTCAGGCTTTCTGAGCATCAGGCACATTTCCTCAGGCCTCAGCCCCCTCAAAATTCCAATGCCGTTGACCTCCCGCAACCCGCTTGATGTCCAGAGTCCATTGGTATCCTGGAGAGCAAGCCAGGGGACATCCCCAGTGTCAGAGTCATTGGTGGCTGGATTATACATGAGTCTGTGGAACTTCAGTTACAGCCTGCCTGGTATCGAGGGCTGAATTCACTCGAGGGGTCCCAAGTCAACTGGCACAGTCAGATAGATGAGGCTCAGTTGGGGGGGGAGGGGGCGGGCTAATACTTTCACTTTCTAAAGTAAATTTTCATTGAAGTATAACCCATATGTAGAAATGCTGGTGCGTAAATCCTAAGTGTACTGCTCAAAGATTTTCACAAAGTGAACATGTCCATCCAAAAAGCATCAAGAAACAGCATGACCAGGCCCCCGGACACCACCCCCTCATGCTTCCTCCTAGCAACCCCCCCAGAGGGTAACCACAACCCCAACTTCTCCAGCATAGATTAATCCTGCCTCATCTTGAAACTTACGTAACCGGAGCCACACAGTATGTCCTTTCTGGTTTCTTTTGATCAATGTCATCTTTTAAAATGCATCTGTCTTGCTGTGGGCAGCATTAGTTTCTTCATGCTCACTGATAGTATTTCACTGGATGACTATACCACAGTTTATTTTTCCATCCTACTCACAAGGGACATTATGGATATCTGAGTGGTCCCACTGTGACCATTACAAGTAGCGCTTCTGTGCAGTTCTATTGAGTGTATACCTAGGAGTGGAATTCTGGGTTGGTAATACTGTTTGGGGCCATAAATGACACATGACCTTAAGTTGTTGATACAAAGTCTCTTGCATGATTTTTCTACCTGAAGTCTCTTGAAGTCTGTAAGGGAGGGACAGGAGAGACTTCCCTGGCCACAAGGAGGCTTTTCCCAACCCCTAGAGCAGATGACTCCAGTGTCATTCAGTACCCCTCCCTGCTTATGACAAAGGCCCAGATGTGTTTTCAAAATCAACTTGGTGCTTTAGTCAGCCACTGACATTC